AAATATTCATATGTTATCGAATGTTTCATCTATAGAGCGTACAACTAAATTAAAATAAATATTTACATGTTATCGAATGTGTAATAGATTGAAATAATTGTGAGGTCAAGGGAACTCACTCTTCTGTATTAGTTATATTTATAATATTGTTATCTTGAGTGATGTCCCTTGTGTACTTCCTTCCGTCCTCTCTGTGTGTTACCATCGTGATGTAGTTAGACCCAATAAATGTGTTATATACAACCACAGGCTTCTGTCGTCAATCTATTATAACTGGCGACGAAGGATAAACATCTACTAGAAAGAGCACCTACTTACGCAAAAAAGAGGTTTGCTAGAGCTTATTAGCTAATTATTTCTAGAATTATGGCGCTGTATGGCCAAATAAAAGAATTTGATGCGAATGATGAAATCATTCAAGATTACCTAGAGAGGTTAAGCTTTTACCTAGAAGCAAACAACGTGACGATAGAAGCCAAAAAGAGAGCTATTTTGTTAACAGTCATAGGGCCTCAACAATTTAGGCTACTAAAAGACTTATGCGCACCAGCTAGTCTAACTACCAAGAGCTTTAACGAGCTGAGCAAATTGCTAACAGACCACCATGCGCCTACCCCATCAAAGTTTTTATGTAGAGCTAGATTTGACAGTAGGACTCGTCAACCAAACGAGTCAATATCAGAATATGTTGCTGCTTTACGTCATTTAAGTGAATTTTGTGAATTCGGAGAAACGCTGTCTGACAGACTATGTGAAAAGTTTGTGACAGGTGTAAACAGCCCTGATATTCAAAGAAAGTTGCTGCTCGAGTCAGATCTAAAATTGGAAAAAGCAATACAACTTGCAATGTCATTCCAGCAGTCATCAGATGCGGCGAGATCTTTAGCACCTTCAGAGATCCATGCAGTAAACAGCAGGTTAGTCAATAAACATCAACCCCATCAGAGCATTCCAACTTATGCTAAACAGCCTGCTCGTTCAAATCCTAGATCTAAATCTAGTAATAATTATCAAAAATGTCATCGATGCAAAGGTCCCCATGCATCTCATCGGTGCAAGTTCAAGTCTGCAACTTGTTATAAGTGCAGTAAGCAAGGTCACATTGCCAAGGCCTGCTTTGCAAAGTCTTCGTCTGTTGCTAAATCTAGCCAGTCAAGACAGTACCGCAACCAAAGGCAGCACTATGTTAACTCTCACCAAGACTACCTAACCCAACCAATGAACCACTCTACCTGTGAAAATGCTCAAACTGATTCGCAGCCGGATTTCAACCTGTTCTCTGTGAAATCAATAAGTCATGCTCCCATCAATGTACCAGTTTATATCAACGGTAAGAGCATCAGCTTCCAACTTGACACTGGAGCATCTCTAACAGTCATAACAAAGAAAGATTTTGACGCTGTCACAGGAGGATCAGTGCTTCTACAGCCATGTCACAAGTGTCTAACAACATACACTGGTGACAATGTTCCGGTAATAGGAGAGTGTATGGTTCATGTGAGTTATAATGGTCAAAGTGTAAAACTTCCTCTTCTTGTGGTTGAAGGAAATGGACCGCCATTACTAGGTAGGAACTGGTTAAGTGATCTTAAGTTAAATTGGGAGAGTATTTGTTCATTGAAGAATGTAAAAGAATCTAGTCTTACTTCACTAGATAAAGTTATATCTGAAAATAAATGTGTTTTTGGTAACTCAGGTTTACTAAATGATAGAACAGTGAAGTTAAGCATTAAAGATACAAATCCAAGATACTGCAAAGCTAGAGTTCCACCTTATGCAATGAGGAATAAAATTGAAAATGAGCTAAGTAGATTGGATCTAATGGCATTATAAAGAAGGTAGACTATTCCGATTGGGCGACACCCATTGTGCCAGTGTTAAAGAAGGATGGTTCTATAAGAATTTGTGGAGATTATAAAACTACACTAAATAAGCAAATAGAGCTAAATAGGTACCCTATACCTAACATTGAGGAAATTTCTTTGAATTTGGCAGGAGGAGTCAAATTCACTGAATTAGACTTTAGTCATGCTTACACTCAACTAGAACTGCATCCAGATTCAAAAGTCTATACGACAATAAACACACATAAAGGACTCTACCAATATGAAAGACTATGTTTTGGCATATCATCTAGCCCTGGAATTTTCCAAGCTGTCATGGACAGTATTTTTAAGGACATTCCAAATGTTTGTGTGTACTTTGACAATGTGTACATAACTGGTAAGAATGACACTGAACATCTTAAAACACTTGATAAAGTATTGAAAATTGTTGGTGAAAAAGGTTTAAAGATAAACAAAGATAAATGTCAATTCATGCTGACAGAAATTAGTTTTCTTGGTTATATATTAAGCAAGCAAGGTATCAGACCTCAACCTGAGAAAACAAAAGCCATTAAAGAAGCACCCAAACCTGAAAATACCCAACAACTAAGAGCTTTTTTGGGCTTAATAAATTACTATGCAAAGTTCATAGGGAATCTGTCTGGTAAACTATCACCACTGTACAAGCTGCTACAGAAAAATGCAACTTGGCACTGGGGTAAACAACAAGAAGCTGCTTATAACACAGCAAAAGAGGCTTTGTCTGCTGACACCTTACTAACTCACTATGACCCAGGGAAAAGACTTGTATTGACATGTGATGCTTCACCAGATGGTGTAGGAGCAGTCTTGTCCCACATGGATGAGAAGGGTGACAGACCCATTGCTTTTGCCAGTAGATCTTTGAATCAGGCTGAGAAAAATTATTCTCAGTTAGATAGGGAAGGCTTAGGCATCATTTTTGGTGTTAAGAAATTTCATAAGTTTCTGTTTGGTAGGAAGTTCACCATCTTTACAGATCATAAACCATTGCTAGGTTTATTTGGAGAAAACAAAACCCTACCTGAGCATGCCTCACCAAGAATTCAAAGATGGGCTATCACACTAACTGCATACAATTATGAATTGAAATACAAACCTGGATCTGAGAATAGTGCAGATAGTCTTAGTAGATTACCTTTAAAAAACCAAAGCCTGAGCTATGTACCAGAAGATGTATTTGTTCTCTTCACTATCTTGGATAACTCCAATATAAATGTGAATGATATTAAGAGAGAAACACAAAAAGATGAGTGCTTAATAAAAGTATATGAGCACTGTATGAATGGTTGGCCTGAAGAATCTGTGAATGATGACTTAAGGCCATATAAAATAAGAAATTAAAACCCTTTGTGAAGATAATATAAATGATGGAGAAGATGCAGTCCATTATCAGTCAGAGTTGCCTAAACAAAGTATTTGTAACTTAATAAATGATTATGGTGATATGGCAATTTCAAATGTTTTAAAGAGAATACATTAGTAAGAAGGAATGTGATCATCAAACAACTTTGCTAACATCATTAGCACTTGCAGAAACTAAAAGAAACTAAAAGGGCAACATCAAAAGAAAAGAAAAAGGATTTTTGCCATTTAATACACCCACTTCAAATGCTGGATCACAGTTGCAAAGTGATATTGTCCAGGATATTACTTTTAAACAGTATTTTTGGTTACCAAAAAGCACTATCAGATTACCTGAGGAAATTGATCAATCAAAGAAATCTATGTCAGTCAAGGATCTGAATAACAGCATAATACTTTCAGATGCCAATTCAAAAATAGTTCCATTAAATCATGACAACACATGCATTGAAAGAGAATTTGGTGTTAATAAGAATGTGTATCTAAGAAATTATGGGAGAAAGGAAAAATGGATACCAGGTCAAATTGTTCAATGTACAGGACCTGTGTCTTATAAAGTAGAAACAAATGATAGACTTATTGTCCGTAGACATGCAGACCAGTTAAAAATAACTTGTGCAGATAATAAGTGTGAATCTATCAATCCCACCAAATCTGAACAGTTCACACCAACTCAGTTTGTTCCACAACCAAGTTCTGTTGATATGAGTGAACCAAGTTGTCTAGAGTCAGAAAATGTAAATTCTGGAGTTAATAATTTAAATCCTAGACCTCCTGAGATAGAGAATCCAAATGGTCAGAATATTGAGTCACCAAATCAAAGGCCACTGAGAAGGTCAAACAGGACAATCAAAGTCCCAAATAAGTTAGACCTATGATTCTAAAGGTCAAAAGGACTTTGACATTATTGTTTTGTATTTTGATTATGTTGTAGCATATTGTGCATTGTTTGTAAGGATGTAATCTACCATAGTGTTCATGTTACAATATAATTGGTGATTTTAGGATACTATCAATTGTTCTATTGAGAGATGTGTTATTGTGTTCTAAGGGTAAAGGGATGTAATAGATTGAAATAATTCTGAGGTCAAGGGAACTCACTCTTCTGTATTAGTTATATTTATAATATTGTTATCTTGAGTGATGTCCCTTGTGTACTTCCTTCCGTCCTCTCTGTGTGTTACCATCGTGATGTAGTTAGACCCAATAAATGTGTTATATACAACCACAGGCTTCTGTCGTCAATCTATTATAGAATGTTTCACCTATAGAGCGTTCAACTAAATTAAAATAAATTTTCATATGTTGTCGAATGTTTCACATATAGAGCGTACAACTATATTAAAATAAATATTCATATGTTATCGAATGTTTCATCTACAGAGCGTACAACTAAATTAAAATAAATATTTACATGTTATCGAATGTTTCACCTATAGAGCGTTCAACTAAATTAAAATAAATATTCATATGTTATCGAATGTTTCACATATAGAGCGTACAACTAAATTAAAATAAATATTCATATGTTATCGAATGTTTCATCTATAGAGCGTACAACTAAATTAAAATAAATATTTACATGTTATCGAATGTTTCACTTATAGAGCGTACAACTAAATTAAAATAAATATTTACATGTTATCGAATGTTTCACTTATAGAGCGTACAACTAAATTAAAATAAATATTTACATGTTATCGAATGTTTCACTTATAGAGCGTACAACTAAATTAAAATAAATATTCACATGTTATCGAATGTCTCCAGGTTGCAAGTCCAGCTTGTGTTGAGCTGGAAGTTTTAGTTTTAGACTGGGTTGGTAAGTTGTTTCATTTTTTTTCGGCTGGTAAGTTGTTTCATTTTTTTTCGGCTGGTAAGTTGTTTCATTTTTTTAGATTTGGTTGGTAAGTTGTGTTTAAATTTGATAAGACTGTGTTGGTAAATTGTATTTAAATCAACAAAGAGTTGGCCTAGTTTTAGACCATTGAAATGTTTGCTTGCTATTGTTTTAGTGTTATAGTGTGTTTAAAAACTCCATGTGATTTTTAAAATGTACACTTTATGTGTACTAAATAACTGAAATTAGCCAGTTGATGTACACATCTGCAAGATAGGATTTGAGTAAGGATTATACGCAAGTATTTATGTTCTACCACAAATACATGCAAGATTTGAGTTAGGATTGTATGCAAGTATATATGTTCTAACACAAATACATGCAAGATTTGAGTTAGGATTGTATGCAAGTATTTATGTTCTAACACAAATACATGCAAGATTTGAGTTAGGATTGTATGCAAGTATTTATGTTCTACCACAAATACATGCAAGATTTGAGTTAGGATTGTATGCAAGTATTTATGTTCTACCACAAATACATGCAAGATTTGAGTTAGGATTGTATGCAAGTATTTATGTTCTACCACAAATACATGCAAGATTTGAGTTAGGATTGTATGCTAGTATTTATGTTCTACCACAAATACATGCAAGATTTCAATAAGGATTGTACGCAAGTATTTATGTTCTACCACAAATACATGCAAGATTTCAATAAGGATTGTACGCAAGTATTTATGTTCTACCACAAATACATGCAAGATTTGTGTAAGGATTGTACGCAAGTATTTATGTTCTACCACAAATACATGCAAGATTTTTACAGGTAAAATGATTGGCTTACCAAAACAGTTCCTGCATGCAAGTGGTCAAGGCGGTGGTGTCATACAGGTCAATATCCAATCATTCACTACTGACCATATGACATACATGTCAATATCCAATCATTCACTACTGACCATATGACATACAGGTCAATATCCAATCATTCACTACTGACCATATGACATACAGGTCAATATCCAATCATTCACTACTGACCATATGACATACAGGTCAATATCCAATCATTCACTACTGACCATATGACATACAGGTCAATATCCAATCATTCACTACTGACCATATTACATACAGGTCAATATCCAATCATTCACTACTGACCATCTGACATACAGGTCAATATCCAATCATTCACTACTGACCATATGACATACAGGTCAATATCCAATCATTCACTACTGACCATGTGACATACAGGTCAATATCCAATCATTCACTACTGACCATATGACATACAGGTCAATATCCAATCATTCACTACTGACCATATGACATATAGGTCAATATCCAATCATTCACTACTGACCATATGACATACATGTCAATATCCAATCATTCACTACTGACCATATGACATACAGGTCAATATCCAATCATTCACTACTGACCATATGACATACAGGTCAATATCCAATCATTCACTACTGACCATATGACATACAGGTCAATATCCAATCATTCACTACTGACCATATGACATACAGGTCAATATCCAATCATTCACTACTGACCATATTACATACAGGTCAATATCCAATCATTCACTACTGACCATATGACATACAGGTCAATATCCAATCATTCACTACTGACCATCTGACATACAGGTCAATATCCAATCATTCACTACTGACCATATGACATACAGGTCAATATCCAATCATTCACTACTGACCATGTGACATACATGTCAATATCCAATCATTCACTACTGACCATATGACATACAGGTCAATATCCAATCATTCACTACTGACCATATGACATACAGGTCAATATCCAATCATTCACTACTGACCATATGACATATAGGTCAATATCCAATCATTCACTACTGACCATATGACATACATGTCAATATCCAATCATTCACTATTGCTAGTTGTGTTCTCCATTTAATTAGGTCATATTTATGGTTGGATAGGAGATTGATAATAATTGATTAATTAATATGTGAATTATTGCTGACCAGAGTCAGGGGCCAGAATCAGGGGTCAGAATCAGGAGCCAGAATCAGGGGCCGGAATCAGGGGTTAGAATCAGGGGTGAGGGTTAGGGGTCAAAAGGCTATGGCATGGCCTAGCGTTAGAGTGCTAGACTGCTAATCTGAAATTCTCGTGTTCTAATCCGGGTTGACTACAGTAGAACGTCCTAACCCTAACCCTGATTCCATCTAGCTCTGATGTGTACCTAACTGAATTAAGGAAAAGTAAGGTGGCTGAGCATAGCGTTGACAACACTATCTCTTGCCGAGGTCACTGAAACAGGTGACCACGGTTCGAAAAAGGAAGTGAACTTAGGGGTCAGACTAGAATTCTTCTCCCCCCAGGGCTCGGCCAGTGAGTGTGTGCTAGTTGCCCTGCTGTCCGCCAGACACAAGTCCATCCAGGCACTCAAGTCAAGCCACCCTCAGCAAGACAATTGGCAGCTGCTCGCTAAGCTCGTTGCTTACACCTCCATACAGGTAGGTCATTGCACTCACATGATGCTTACACCTCCATACAGGTAGGTCATTGCACTCACATGATGCTTACACCTCCATACAGGTAGGTCATTGCACTCACATGATGCTTACACCTCCATACAGGTAGGTCATTGCACTCACATGATGCTTACACCTCCATACAGGTAGGTCATTGCACTCACATGATGCTTACACCTTCATACAGGTAGGTCATTGCACTCACATGATGCTTACACCTCCATACAGGTAGGTCATTGCACTCACATGATGCTTACACCTCCATACAGGTAGGTCATTGCACTCACATGATGCTTACACCTCCATACAGGTAGGTCATTGCACTCACATGATGCTTACACCTCCATACAGGTAGGTCATTGCACTCACATGATGCTTACACCTCCATACAGGTAGGTCATTGCACTCACATGATGCTTACACCTCCATACAGGTAGGTCATTGCACTCACATGATGCTTACACCTCCATACAGGTAGGTCATTGCACTCACATGATGCTTACACCTCCATACAGGTAGGTCATTGCACTCACATGATGCTTACACCTCCATACAGGTAGGTCATTTCCCTGACCTCACCTGCTATATGTGTGATGGTTTCAGGCTCACTCATGCGTGGAGAAGGCTGGCATGATCGGGTTTGTCAAGATGCGACACCTGGACGTGGACGAGAAGTTCTCACTGCGAGGTCACGTGTTGGAGGACGCCATTGAGGTACAATCTGATTGGCTGACACATTGAACTGAAGATAATTCTGATAATCCTAACCCTAATCCTTAACCTTACTAACGCCTGTTTTAAAACTTTTTCCTGTGCAGGAGGATAAAAAGCTCGGGCTGATTCCATTTTTTGTGAGTACTCACCTACAGCTATTTATAGTAACAAGATTCCATTTTTTGTAAGTACTCATCTACAGCCATTTATAGTAACAAGATTCCATTTTTGTGAGTACTCATCTACAGCTATTTATAGTAACAAGATTCCATTTTTTTGTGAGTACTCATCTACAGCTATTTATAGTAACAAGATTCCATTTTTTGTGAGTACTCATCTATAGCCATTTATAGTAACAAGATTCCATTTTTTATGAGTACTCATCTAGAGCTATTTATTGTAACAAGATTCCATTTTTTATGAGTACTCATCTAAAGCAATTTATAGTAACAAGATTCTATTTTTTGTGAGTACTCATCTAGAGCTATTTATAGTAACAAGATTCCATTTTTTATGAGTACTCATCTAAAGCAATTTATAGAAACAAGAATCCAAGTCTTGTGAGTACTCATCTAGAGCTATTTATAGTAACAAGATTCCATTTTTTATGAGTACTCATCTAAAGCAATTTATAGTAACAAGATTCTATTTTTTGTGAGTACTCATCGACAGCTATTTATAGTAACAAGATTACATTTTTTGTGAGTACTCATCTATAGCTATTTATAGCTGTTTTTTGTTTTTAAAAAAGCTGGGGTCGTCTGTAACGTCCACTATTGACCCTGGGCACCACGTGATGTAACATGACTAGTAACGTCCACTATTGACCCTGGGCACCACGTGATGTAACATGACTAGTAACGTCCACTATTGACCCTGGGCACCACGTGATGTAACATCACTAGTAACGTCCACTATTGACCCTGGGCACCACGTGATGTAACATCACTAGTAACGTCCACTATTGACCCTGGGCACCACGTGATGTAACATCACTAGTAACGTCCACTATTGACCCTGGGCACCACGTGATGTAACATCACTAGTAACGTCCACTATTGACCCTGGGCACCACGTGATGTAACATCACTAGTAACGTCCACTATTGACCCTGGGCACCACGTGATGTAACATCACTAGTAACGTCCACTATTGACCCTGGGCACCACGTGACGTAACATCACTAGTAACGTCCACTATTGACCCTGGGCACCACGTGATGTAACATCACTAGTAACGTCCACTATTGACCCTGGGCACCACGTGATGTAACATGACTAGTAACGTCCACTATTGACCCTGGGCACCACGTGATGTAACATCACTAGTAACGTCCACTATTGACCCAGGGCACCACGTGACGTAACATGACTAGTAACGTCCACTATTGACCCAGGGCACCACGTGACGTAACATGACTAGTAACGTCCACTATTGACCCTGGGCACCACGTGATGTAACATGACTAGTAACGTCAACTATTGACCCTGGGCACCACGTGACGTAACATCACTAGTAACGTCCACTATTGACCCTGGGCACCACGTGATGTAACATCACTAGTAACGTCCACTATTGACCCTGGGCACCACGTGATGTAACATCACTAGTAACGTCCACTATTGACCCAGGGCACCACGTGATGTAACATCACTAGTAACGTCCACTATTGACCCAGGGCACCACGTGATGTAACATCACTAGTAACGTCCACTATTGACCCAGGGCACCACGTGATGTAACATCACTAGTAACGTCCACTATTGACCCTGGGCACCACGTGACGTAACATCACTAGTAACGTCCACTATTGACCCAGGGCACCACGTGATGTAACATCACTAGTAACGTCCACTATTGACCCTGGGCACCACGTGATGTAACATGACTAGTAACGTCCACTATTGACCCTGGGCACCACGTGATGTAACATCACTAGTAACGTCCACTATTGACCCTGGGCACCACGTGATGTAACATGACTAGTAACGTCCACTATTGACCCTGGGCACCACGTGATGTAACATCACTAGTAACGTCCACTATTGACCCTGGGCACCACGTGATGTAACATGACTAGTAACGTCCACTATTGACCCTGGGCACCACGTGATGTAACATGACTAGTAACGTCCACTATTGACCCTGGGCACCACGTGATGTAACATGACTAGTAACGTCCACTATTGACCCTGGGCACCAAGTGATGTAACATGACTAGTAACGTCCACTATTGACCCTGGGCACCACGTGATGTAACATGACTAGTAACGTCCACTATTGACCCTGGGCACCACGTGATGTAACATCACTAGTAACGTCCACTATTGACCCTGGGCACCACGTGATGTAACATGACTAGTAACGTCAACTATTGACCCTGGGCACCACGTGACGTAACATCACTAGTAACGTCCACTATTGACCCTGGGCACCACGTGATGTAACATGACTAGTAACGTCCACTATTGACCCTGGGCACCACGTGATGTAACATCACTAGTAACGTCCACTATTGACCCAGGGCACCACGTGATGTAACATCACTAGTAACGTCCACTATTGACCCAGGGCACCACGTGACGTAACATCACTAGTAACGTCCACTATTGACCCAGGGCACCACGTGATGTAACATCACTAGTAACGTCCACTATTGACCCTGGGCACCACGTGATGTAACATGACTAGTAACGTCCACTATTGACCCTGGGCACCACGTGATGTAACATCACTAGTAACGTCCACTATTGACCCTGGGCACCACGTGATGTAACATGACTAGTAACGTCCACTATTGACCCTGGGCACCACGTGATGTAACATCACTAGTAACGTCCACTATTGACCCTGGGCACCACGTGATGTAACATGACTAGTAACGTCCACTATTGACCCTGGGCACCACGTGATGTAACATGACTAGTAACGTCCACTATTGACCCTGGGCACCACGTGATGTAACATGACTAGTAACGTCCACTATTGACCCTGGGCACCAAGTGATGTAACATGACTAGTAACGTCCACTATTGACCCTGGGCACCACGTGATGTAACATGACTAGTAACGTCCACTATTGACCCTGGGCACCACGTGATGTAACATCACTAGTAACGTCCACTATTGACCCTGGGCACCACGTGATGTAACATGACTAGTAACGTCAACTATTGACCCTGGGCACCACGTGACGTAACATCACTAGTAACGTCCACTATTGACCCTGGGCACCACGTGATGTAACATGACTAGTAACGTCCACTATTGACCCTGGGCACCACGTGATGTAACATCACTAGTAACGTCCACTATTGACCCAGGGCACCACGTGATGTAACATCACTAGTAACGTCCACTATTGACCCAGGGCACCACGTGATGTAACATCACTAGTAACGTCCACTATTGACCCAGGGCACCACGTGATGTAACATCACTAGTAACGTCCACTATTGACCCTGGGCACCACGTGACGTAACATCACTAGTAACGTCCACTATTGACCCAGGGCACCACGTGATGTAACATCACTAGTAACGTCCACTATTGACCCTGGGCACCACGTGATGTAACATGACTAGTAACGTCCACTATTGACCCTGGGCACCACGTGATGTAACATCACTAGTAACGTCCACTATTGACCCTGGGCACCACGTGATGTAACATGACTAGTAACGTCCACTATTGACCCTGGGCACCACGTGATGTAACATCACTAGTAACGTCCACTATTGACCCTGGGCACCACGTGATGTAACATGACTAGTAACGTCCACTATTGACCCTGGGCACCACGTGATGTAACATGACTAGTAACGTCCACTATTGACCCTGGGCACCACGTGATGTAACATGACTAGTAACGTCCACTATTGACCCTGGGCACCAAGTGATGTAACATGACTAGTAACGTCCACTATTGACCCTGGGCACCACGTGATGTAACATCACTAGTAACGTCCACTATTGACCCTGGGCACCACGTGATGTAACATCACTAGTAACGTCCACTATTGACCCTGGGCACCACGTGACGTAACATCACTAGTAACGTCCACTATTGACCCTGGGCACCACGTAATGTAACATCACTAGTAACGTCCACTATTGACCCTGGGCACCACGTGATGTAACATCACTAGTAACGTCCACTATTAACCCTGGGCACCACGTGACGTAACATGACTAGTAACGTCCACTATTGACCCTGGGCACCACGTGATGTAACATCACTAGTAACGTCCACTATTGACCCTGGGCACCACGTGACGTAACATCACTAGTAACGTCCACTATTGACCCAGGTGTGTGCGACCCTGGGTACCACGGCCTGCTGTTCCTTCGACAACCTGCAGGAGCTGGGGGACGTCTGCACCAGACACGGCGTCTACCTGCACGTCGACGCTGCTTATGCTGGAGCTGCACTCATCTGTCCAGAGTTTCAGTTCCTGAAAGATGGAATAGAGGTGAGATATAGTAGGAGGTGAGATATAGTAGGAGGTGAGATATAGTAGGAGGTGAGATATAGTAGGAGGTGAGATATAGTAGGAGGTGAGATATAGTAGGAGGTGAGATATAGTAGGAGGTGAGATATAGTAGGAGGTGAGATATAGTAGGAGGTGAGATATAGTAGGAGGTGAGATATAGTAGGAGGTGAGATATAGTAGGAGGTGAGATATAGTAGGAGGTGAGATATAGTAGGAGGTGAGATATAGTAGGAGGTGAGATATGGTAGGAGGTGAGATATGGTAGGAGGTGAGATATGGTAGGAGGTGAGATATAGTAGGAGGTGAGATATGGTAGGAGGTGAGATATGGTAGGAGGTGAGATATAGTAGGAGGTGAGATATAGTAGGAGGTGAGATATAGTAGGAGGTGAGATATAGTAGGAGGTGAGATATAGTAGGAGGTGAGATATAGTAGGAGGTGAGATATAGTAGGAGGTGAGATATAGTAGGAGGTGAGATATAGTAGACATCACATGTAGGAGGTGAGATCTATTTTTTCTCTAGAATGTCGACTAACTACTAAGATCTTTGTATTCTCTAGAACGTCTACTAATAAGATCTTTGTATTCTCTAGAATGTCGACTTATAAGATCTTTGTATTCTCTAGAACGTCGACTTATAAGATCTTTGTATTCTCTAGAACGTCGACTAATAAGATCTTTGTTTTCTCTAGAACGTCGATTCGTTTGGATTCAATGCCTGCAAATTATTCCCCGTGAACACAGACTGTGCTTTAATGTGGTAGGGTTTCTTGTTTGATAAGTGACAGGTGATATGTCAGGTGTGACAGGTGATATTTCAGGTGTGACAGGTGATATGTCAGGTGTGACAGGTGATATGTCAGGTGTGACAGGTGATATGTCAGGTGTGACAGGTGATATGTCAGGTGTGACAGGTGATATGTCAGGTGTGACAGGTGATATGTCAGGTGTGACAGGTGATATGTCAGGTGTGACAGGTGATATGTCAGGTGTGACAGGTGATATGTCAGGTGTGACAGGTGATATGTCAGGTGTGACAGGTGATATGTCAGGTGTGACAGGTGATATGTCAGGTGTGACAGGTGATATGTCAGGTGTGACAGGTGATATGTCAGGTGTGACATGTGATATGTCAGGTGTGACAGGTGATATGTCAGGTGTGACAGGTGATATGTCAGGTGTGACAGGTGATATGTCAGGTGTGACAGGTGAGCTGTCAGGTGTGACAGGTGATATGTCAGGTGTGACAGGTGATATGTCAGGTGTGGCAGGTGATATGTCAGGTGTGACAGGTGATATGTCAGGTGTGACAGGTGATATGTCAGGTGTGACAGGTGATATGTCAGGTGTGACAGGTGAGCTGTCAGATGTGACAAGTGAGCTCTCAGGTGTGACAGGTGAGCTGTCATATGACAGGTGAACTGTCAATTGTGACAAGTGATACATGAGGTATGACAGGTGTGACATGTAAGAGGTGCTACAACATGAATGTTGTCTCATCAGGGTACAGAGGGTGGAGACTCTGACTTCTGCACTAGCTGTTGACCCCTTGTATCTACGAGCCAACCCCAACTTACAATATGGCTACATGGCTCCGGAGTTTAGAGTAAGGTTTACACATTGGAATGTATCTCAGTCAGAGGCGTAGCGCCCGGGGACAAACTTTCAAGTTGGCGCCCCCCCCCTCACCCTCGGGAGTAAATTTTCAATTTTGCACCCCCCCCCCCCCCACACACACACAATTTTGATTTGTCTCTCCTCCCCCCCCCCCTTAAATTTTCGATTTGAACCCCCCCCCCCCCCTCCTCAAACTATTTATAATGCAAAAATGCAGCTAAAATGACATTTTAATTTGTTTTTCCAACTCATTTTGACGTCCCCTAAGTCGGCGCCCGGGGACGTGTGTACCCCCCTCGCTACGCCTCTGATCTCAGTAAATATGTACTTGACAGTTTCATCCGTACGATGTATAAAATGTATTTCTGTTTTATTTTTAGCACTGGGGCATCCCCCTGGTCCGTAGATTTCGGGCCCTCAAGTTGTGGTTTGTGGTAAGAATGTTGGGCGTTCAAGGTCTGCAGCACAGGATCAGAGAGGTAAACAGGGGCGGAACTATAGTGCCGCCAGACCCCGCAATGCGGGGGGGCCCACGCCATTTAGGGGCCCACAGCCGACCATAATAATTATTTTTAATAGTTAAAATTTTAAAAATGTTCTTGCATTTTTGACTTGATGGTTGTTTTGTAAAAAGATTACCGTAGCTGCGGTTGGATTATCTTTATTCTATAGACACCACCCCATTCTTAAATATTCTTTTTCCCTTTGTTTTTAAACCACCGTGAAAGCCGACTCCTCTTTCTCCTACAATTAAACTTAGCAAAGATGAACCAACGTTCAAACCACCTCCACGACTTATTTCCCCTTTTTAAATAGTCAAATAGGGGTGCTCATAAGCTCCTTTTAAAAGATTTGTACTACACAAATTAACAAAACAATTACTTCTCTTAATTTTTTTTTAAAAAGTACTTACTAAAGAATGACATTGTATAAAAAGGAAATGTGTTTAAAACTAATAATATAAATACAAAAAAACATAAAAATAAACATAACACGAAACACCATTATTTATACAAAGCTTTCATGGTTTATATTCTTTTGACCGTCTCGAGGTTAAGAGGTCTTGTACAGAGATAAAGTAAGACTGATTTTCACAAAGCACACTAATGCACTTACACACGACAAGATGTTGTAATTTGTTTTAATTGAACAAAAACCATTTTTCTTTCAAAACCCGAACAGGCCAGCAATAAGTATCCTTTGTTCGTATTTTGTGTTTGTATATATATATATATATATATATATATATATATATATATATATATATATATATATATATATATATATATATATATATATATTATATATATATATATATGAGGGGGGCCTAAACAATTTTTTTCGGGGTGGCCCTTTTTTTCTAGTTCCGCCACTGGAGGTAAACAACACATTTGCCATTTATAACCTATCTTTTATTTTCTATGTCGGAAATGAAATTCTCCGCCCACAGAATTTCCGTTTGGCTCAGCTGTTCATGCACAAAATGGCAGACGACAGGAGATTTCAGGTCATGGCTGACGTCACAATGGGGCTCGTCTGCTTCAGACTTCAAGTAAGTTGAGTGGGAGCTGCTCCATTAACTTGGGGGGGGGGGGGAGATAATTAATTATATCAGCCAGAGGCGTAGCGAGGGGGAGGGGGCGGGGGAACACATGTCCCAGGGCGCCGACCTTAGGGGGGGTGGCGCCAAAATGGGTTGGAAAAACAAATTAAAAAAAACAAAGTTTGAGGGGGGGGGGTGCAAATCAAAAGTTCAAGGGGGGCGAAAATCGAAAGTGCTAATCGCCTGGAAGGGTCGCTACGCCTCTGATATCAGCCTGAAGGTGCTTCCTCGCTAAGTACTACTATGTGAGCTAATTAATTATATCAGTCTCATGGTGCTTCCTTACTCAGTACTACTATGTGAGCTAATTAATTATATCAGTCTCATGGTGCTTCCTTACTCAGTACTACTATGTGAGCTAATTAATTATATCAGTCTCATGGTGCTTCCTCACTTAGTACTACTATGTGAGCTAATTAATTATATCAGTCTCATGGTGCTTTCTTACTCAGTACTACTATGTGAGCTAATTAATTATATCAGTCTCATGGTGCTTCCACGCTTAGTACTACTATGTGAGCTAATTAATTATATCAGTCTCATGGTGCTTTCTTACTCAGTACTACTATGCAGTTTTAGTGTTGTGAGGTCTGCGTGTGTTGTGGTGTAAGTATTGTGTGGGCTATTTGTGTAGTGTGTTGTGTGGGCTGTTGTGGAAAATGTGTGGGCTGTAGTGTTGTGTGTGTAGTGTGGGCTGTTTTTGTAGTGTGTTGTGCGGGCTGTGGTTTGTTGTGTGGGCTGTTATCTGTGTCACTACCTCTCCACTGATGTCTACAAGATTTGATGTCTGTGTTGTGTTGTGTGGGCTGTTATCTGTGTCACTACCTCTCCACTGATGTCTACAAGATTTGATGTCTGTGTTGTGTGGGCTGTTATCTGTGTCACTACCTCTCCACTGATGTCTACAAGATTTGATGTCTGTGTTGTGTGGGCTGTTATCTGTGTCACTACCTCTCCACTGATGTCTACAAGATTTGATGTCTGTGTTGTGTGGGCTGTTATCTGTGTCACTACCTCTCCACTGATGTCTACAAGATTTGATGTCTGTGTTGTGTTGTGTGGGCTGTTATATGTGTCACTACCTCTCCACTGATGTCTACAAGATTTGATGTCTGTGTTGTGTTGTGTGGGCTGTTATATGTGTCACTACCTCTCCACTGATGTCTACAAGATTTGATGTCTGTGTTGTGTTGTGTGGGCTGTTATCTGTGTCACTACCTCTCCACTGATGTCTACAAGATTTGATGTCTGTGTTGTGTTGTGTGGGCTGTTATCTGTGTCACTACCTCTCCACTGATGTCTACAAGATTTGATGTCTGTGTTGTGTTGTGTGGGCTGTTATATGTGTCACTACCTCTCCACTGATGTCTACAAGATTTGATGTCTGTGTTGTGTTGTGTGGGCTGTTATATGTGTCACTACCTCTCCACTGATGTCTACAAGATTTGATGTCTGTGTTGTGTTGTGTGGGCTGTTATCTGTGTCACTACCTCTCCACTGATGTCTACAAGATTTGATGTCTGTGTTGTGTTGTGTGGGCTGTTATCTGTGTCACTACCTCTCCACTGATGTCTACAAGATTTGATGTCTGTGTTGTGTTGTGTGGGCTGTTATCTGTGTCACTACCTCTCCACTGATGTCTACAAGATTTGATGTCTGTGTTGTGTGGGCTGTTATCTGTGTCACTACCTCTCCACTGATGTCTACAAGATTTGATGTCTGTGTTGTGTGGGCTGTTATCTGTGTCACTACCTCTCCACTGATGTCTACAAGATTTGATGTCTGTGTTGTGTGGGCTGTTATCTGTGTCACTACCTCTCCACTGATGTCTACAAGATTTGATGTCTGTGTTGTGTTGTGTGGGCTGTTATCTGTGTCACTACCTCTCCACTGATGTCTACAAGATTTGATGTCTGTCTGTGTTGTGTGGGCTGTTATCTGTGTCACTACCTCTCCACTGATGTCTACAAGATTTGATGTCTGGGTTGTGTTGTGTGGGCTGTTATCTGTGTCACTACCTCTCCACTGATGTCTACAAGATTTGATGTCTGTGTTGTGTTGTGTGGGCTGTTATCTGTGTCACTACCTCTCCACTGATGTCTATAAGATTTGATGTCTGTGTTGTGTTGTGTGGGCTGTTATCTGTGTCACTACCTCTCCACTGATGTCTACAAGATTTGATGTCTGTGTTGTGTTGTGTGGGCTGTTATCTGTGTCACTACCTCTCCACTGATGTCTACAAGATTTGATGTCTGTGTTGTGTTGTGTGGGCTGTTATCTGTGTCACTACCTCTCCACTGATGTCTACAAGATTTGATGTCTGTGTTGTGTGGGCTGTTATCTGTGTCACTACCTCTCCACTGATGTCTACAAGATTTGATGTCTGTGTTGTGTGGGCTGTTATCTGTGTCACTACCTCTCCACTGATGTCTACAAGATTTGATGTCTGTGTTGTGTGGGCTGTTATCTGTGTCACTACCTCTCCACTGATATCTACAAGATTTGATGTCTGTGTTGTGTGGGCTGTTATCTGTGTCACTACCTCTCCACTGATGTCTACAAGATTTGATGTCTGTGTTGTGTGGGCTGTTATCTGTATCACTACCTCTCCACTGATGTCTACAAGATTTGATGTCTGTGTTGTGTTGTGTTGGCTGTTATCTGTATCACTACCTCTCCACTGATGTCTACAAGATTTGATGTCTGTGTTGTGTGGGCTGTTATCTGTGTCACTACCTCTCCACTGATGTCTACAAGATTTGATGTCTGTGTTGTGTGGGCTGTTATCTGTGTCACTACCTCTCCACTGATGTCTACAAGATTTGATGTCTGTGTTGTGTTGTGTGGGCTGTTATCTGTGTCACTACCTCTCCACTGATGTCTACAAGATTTGATGTCTGTCTGTGTTGTGTGGGCTGTTATCTGTGTCACTACCTCTCCACTGATGTCTACAAGATTTGATGTCTGTGTTGTGTTGTGTGGGCTGTTATCTGTGTCACTACCTCTCCACTGATGTCTACAAGATTTGATGTCTGTGTTGTGTGGGCTGTTATCTGTGTCACTACCTCTCCACTGATGTCTACAAGATTTGATGTCTGTGTTGTGTGGGCTGTTATCTGTGTCACTACCTCTCCACTGATGTTTACAAGATTTGATGTCTGTTTTGTGTGGGCTGTTATCTGTGTCACTACCTCTCCACTGATGTCTACAAGATTTGATGTCTGTGTTGTGTGGGCTGTTATCTGTGTCACTACCTCTCCACTGATGTCTACAAGATTTGATGTCTGTGTTGTGTGGGCTGTTATCTGTGTCACTACCTCTCCACTGATGTCTACAAGATTTGATGTCTGTGTTGTGTTGTGTGGGCTGTTATCTGTGTCACTACCTCTCCACTGATGTCTACAAGATTTGATGTATGTGTTGTGTGGGCTGTTATCTGTGTCACTACCTCTCCACTGATGTCTACAAGATTTGATGTCTGTGTTGTGTGGGCTGCTATCTGTGTCACTACCTCTCCACTGATGTCTACAAGATTTGATGTCTGTGTTGTGTGGGCTGTTATCTGTGTCACTACCTCTCCACTGATGTCTACAAGATTTGATGTCTGTCTGTGTTGTGTGGGCTGTTATCTGTGTCACTACCTCTCCACTGATGTCTACAAGATTTGATGTCTGTGTTGTGTGGGCTGTTATCTGTGTCACTACCTCTCCACTGATGTCTACAAGATTTGATGTCTGTCTGTGTTGTGTGGGCTGTTATCTGTGTCACTACCTCTCCACTGATGTCTACAAGATTTGATGTCTGTGTTGTGTTGTGTGGGCTGTTATCTGTGTCACTACCTCTCCACTGATGTCTACAAGATTTGATGTCCGTCTGTGTTGTGTGGGCTGTTATCTGTGTCACTACCTCTCCACTGATGTCTACAAGATTTGATGTCTGTGTTGTGTTGTGTGGGCTGTTATCTGTGTCACTACCTCTCCACTGATGTCTACAAGATTTGATGTCTGTGTTGTGTTGTGTGGGCTGTTATCTGTGTCACTACCTCTCCACTGATGTCTACAAGATTTGATGTCTGTGTTGTGTTGTGTGGGCTGTTATCTGTGTCACTACCTCTCCACTGATGTCTACAAGATTTGATGTCTGTGTTGTGTTGTGTGGGCTGTTATCTGTGTCACTACCTCTCCACTGATGTCTACAAGATTTGATGTCTGTCTATGTTGTGTGGGCTGTTATCTGTGTCACTACCTCTCCACTGATGTCTACAAGATTTGATGTCTGTGTTGTGTTGTGTGGGCTGTTATCTGTGTCACTACCTCTCCACTGATGTCTACAAGATTTGATGTCTGTGTTGTGTGGGCTGTTATCTGTATCACTACCTCTCCACTGATGTCTACAAGATTTGATGTCTGTGTTGTGTGGGCTGTTATCTGTGTCACTACCTCTCCACTGATGTCTACAAGATTTGATGTCTGTGTTGTGTTGTGTGGGCTGTTATCTGTGTCACTACCTCTCCACTGATGTCTACAAGATTTGATGTCTGTGTTGTGTTGTGTGGGCTGTTATATGTGTCACTACCTCTCCACTGATGTCTACAAGATTTGATGTCTGTGTTGTGTTGTGTGGGCTGTTATCTGTGTCACTACCTCTCCACTGATGTCTACAAGATTTGATGTCTGTCTGTGTTGTGTGGGCTGTTATCTGTGTCACTACCTCTCCACTGATGTCTACAAGATTTGATGTCTGTGTTGTGTGGGCTGTTATCTGTGTCACTACCTCTCCACTGATGTCTACAAGATTTGATGTCTGTGTTGTGTGGGCTGTTATCTGTGTCACTACCTCTCCACTGATGTCTACAAGATTTGATGTCTGTGTTGTGTTGTGTGGGCTGTTATCTGTGTCACTACCTCTCCACTGATGTCTACAAGATTTGATGTCTGTGTTGTGTGGGC